GGGTGGGGTGGGGGCGGGGAGTAATCCGAGGACCCTGAGACCAAGACCTGAGCCGAAAGCAGAGGCCTTAGCCCACTGAGCCACCCAGGCGCCCCTGCCATTTTTTTTTTAAACCTGTATTTATTTACTATTGAAACGGTTTCATAATCCATTTTCTGGTCTAGAGGTCTAGAGGACGGAAGAACAATGGCTGCGGGGAGTGTTCCTTCTGAGCTCATAGAAAGAGAACGGAAAAAGTTACTTGAAATCCTCCAACAAGATCCTGATTCTGTCTTAGACACATTAACCTCTCGGAGGCTGGTTTCTGAGGAAGAGTATGAGACTCTGGAGAATATTACAGATCCCCTGAAGAAAAGTCGAAAGCTGTTAATTTTGGTACAGAAAAAGGGAGAGGTGTGCTGTCAGCATTTTCTCAAGTGTTTACTTAGTACTTTTCCAGAGTCAGCTACCATTTGGGGCCTAGAGCATGGTAAGTTGGATTTCTATACTTTTGGGGGGGGGTGGGAGGGACAAGGCAGATTTCCTGAAAAAAGAAAATAATTGCCTTTTGTTTTCATTTGTCTATCTCCGGGAGATAATTTTCACTGAAATATGATACAGGATAAAAGTGTCCAGGAATTTAAAAGCAGGGAGGAATGTATCTTATTGGCTTAAGGGATTGATAATTTTTTATTGAAACTGTATCTAAAATTTGCAGGGATTTTTTAGTGCTAGTATAAACTGCTTACTATTCAGTAAGTAATTTCATGGATATTTAACAACCCCAAGGCCAAGTGCTGCATCTTTCATTTAGTATAACCATTTCGGAAATAACAGAAGAATGATAACATGGTAGATCAATAACTTCATTTTTTTCTGTGATAAGAATGCCAGCAGAAGCCTGCTTTTCTGGAGCAATTCAAATGCTAATTCTTATTTTTTCCTAAGATTGATTTTATTTATTTATTTAAAGATTTTATTTATTTATTTGACTCACGGAGATCACAAGTAGGCTGAGAGGCAGACAACTGAGAGAGAGGAGGAAGCAGGCTCCCCACTGAGCAGAGAGCCCATGCTGGCCTCCATGCTGGGCTCGATCCCAGAACCCTGGGATCATGACCTGAGCTGAAGGCAGAGACTTTAACCTGCTGAGCCACCCAGGCATCCCTGAAGATTTTATTTATTTATTTGACAGAGAGCAAGTGAGAGAGAGAGAGAGAATAGGAGCAGGGGGAATGGGAGAGGGAGAAGTAGGTTTCCCATGCAGGGTTCTTTCCCAGGACCTTGGGATCATGACCTGACCTGAAGGCAGACACTTAACCAACTAAGCCACTCAGGTGCCCCTCAAATGCTAATTCCTCAATGTTTAAAAATATTTTGTGGCAGATGAGGGAGTAATTCTTCCAGAATGGATTGATTAGCAATTTTGTAGATGACCACTAGAGGCAGGTGTAGCTCCTTTTTCTGAAAGTCTAAAAAATATTAAAGATCATTTTAAGAGATATTAGAGAGGTAGAGGCTCAGATAAAAAGTTAATGTTAATGATCTCTACTGTAGGACAAGAAAAATATGCTTAGAGAAATAGATACTATTATTTCTAGGACTTAGTATTCCAAATTAGAGCTATTTGTTTCCTGATTAGAAATGATTAGGATCCGATTTCATTAGCAATGGCTCTAGGAAATCTGAGGTGGTTTTGGGTCATAGTAAAACCACAACTAAGCACTGTTCATAGGATTCACATTTTCTGTTTCATTCATCTACTCTTCGAGTTTTCTACAAAGAACTCAAACTTTTGAGCAAGGTAGGAACATGATTTGATTTTTTTTTTTTTCCCAGTGAGAGAAAGAATGGCAGGTGACTTGTTATTTATGTGAGAGATGCTAGGTATTCATATCCTCCAGTTTTGAAATAAAGAAGAGAGATGATGCTTTGAGGTCTTGGAAACTCAAGTTATTATAAGATTTATTCTTGTTAATTTGGAAAAATGAAACAACCTCCCTCCCAACTCTCTTGTTTTTTTCAGTATTTTTAAAGCATGAGAATATACAACCTCTTCAACCTATAGGGGTAAACAAGAATTCAGAAGATTTTTTTTCCTCTGGAGAGAAACAGCCTGAGAATCCTGAGATCACAGTATCCTTCACAGAGAAAGAACACCTGGATATGGGAATCTCTGAATCCTTTGGGGAGAAGAAAACTAGTCATAAAGAAACTGCTTGGACCTCTAGCGAAGATGAGAAGGAATACAACACGCCCAAAGTCATATCACCACATTCACTTGAGAACCCCGAATATGAAATTCCAGCAACTATTGTTTATTTACAGGATGGACAGAGATATGAGAAGCCAGATGATTCTTTGTACTTAGGAAGAGAGGGATATCTAGAATCCCTTGGATACTCGGAAGATGCAGAGCCCGCTGAGGAAGAAGAGGTTTATAATGACTCAGAGCACAGTGTTTATGATGGCGAAGACGGCTGGACATATTCAGAAACCCTGCACTTCTCTGAGGAAGAACAGAGCTATGAGGATTCAGAAACTGGCATTTCGTTGGAGGAGGATGAGGAGGAAGAGAAGGGAGAGGAGAAGGAGGAGGAGGAGGAGAAAAGGAGTGAAGGTATGGGAATGATATGTGATAGTTGGGCAACAACTTATTCCATCCCATAATGGGGAGAAGGGGTGAAGAAAGGCACTAGACGTCAGCAGAAAAGCTGCTACTCAGATTCTTTATGCCTCCCTAACCTGGAATTTCCTTAGAGGTGGGTGTTGACAGAGAGGAAGACTCAGGACCTACACAATCGTGGACAGTATAAGCAAAAATAAATACTGATTGTCAGCTTATAGGTTTCTTTTATTTTTTTTTTTTAAGATTTTATTTATTTATTTGACAGACAGAGATCACAAGTAGGCAGAGAGAGGGGAGGAAGCAGGCTCCCCACTGAGCAGAGAGCTCGATGCGGGGCTCCATCCCAGGACCCTGGGATCATGACCTGAGCAGAAGGCAGAGGCTTCACCCACTGAGCCACCCAGGCGCTGCAGCTCATAGGTTTCTGCAGTCAACTCCTGTAATGCATAAAAGAAGCTGCTAACCACTAATTTTAGGTGTTACCTTCTATTGTTCAAATTAAGCCTCTGAAGTCATTTTAGTGCCTTTGTGACCAATGGCATACGGAGGTTATGGTCCTAACTACTGAAGTGACTATCAGAGAGGAGCCTGTGATGAATGGATAAGATCCCCAAATACTGTTACTTGGCTTGATCTGGTCATAAATTGCCATCTTAGTAAGGGAAAATTATATCAGTATCTTTAATTGGAATATTTCTGAATGAAAACTTGAAAACTGAGAAATGCTTCACTTGAAGAGATATTGTTTATGAAAATAAATATACCCAAGTTCTGAGTAGAGGAGGGAAAAGTAACTCTCATCTCCCATTCAGTTCAAATCCTGGGGATGCACCGTCTAGTTCTAGATAGGAGAGGAGTAATGTCTACCTCATCAGACCTTTTATTAGTTTGCTAGCGAAGTACCGCAAATGGGGGAATGTAAATAATAAACAACAGAAACGTCTTATCTCAGTTTAGAGGCTGAAGGCAGAAATCAAAGTGTCTATAAGGTTGGTTACTTCTGAAGCCTGTAAAGGAGAATCTGTTCCTGGTTTCTGGTGGTTTGCTGGAAATCTTTGGCATTCTTTGGCTTGTAAAAATATCCCTCTCATCTGCCTTCATCTTCACACAGTTGTGTCCCTGAGTGCATTTCTCTAGGTCCAAATTTCCCCCTTTAATAAGGACATTAGTCACATTGGATTAGGGCCCACCCTAATGACCTCGTCTTAACTAATTATACCTGCAGTGACCCTGTTTCCAAATAACATCACATCCTGAGGTACTGGGGGTTAGGATTTCAACATATGAATTTGAGGGGTACATAATTTAACCCACAACTCAAATCTTGTCCCACCCCCTTACCTTCCCAGCCCATTATCATTTTTAGGCATCCTTCTTAGTTTTTATTTATTTACACATTTCACTTATTGTATAGGGTTGACTTAATTATTCATTACATAGTATCATCATTATTCTGTAACAAACCACTTTTGTCTGTTTATTCCATTTTTTCTTCATTCTCCGTTCCTCCATAGGTAATATTCTAATATTATGATGCATTTCTTGCATGTTATTGTTTGTTGGTATGATCTTGTTTTCTGTATCATTTATTTATTGCAACAGTAGCGCTGCATAACAGAGCTTATCAAAACAATAAGAGTGTCTGCAGTTGGCTAGGCAGTTTTTCTGGTCTTTCCTGGGTTTATTTATGTGTCTGTGGTCAGCTGGTGATAGACTTGTCTGTCATCTCATGGCAGGCTAGTCTGGACTTCTCAGACTAGATGGGGCATAGTCTCATTGTGAGGACAGAGGAGTATAAGAGAGAAGGCAAGAAAGAGAGGGAGAGAGAGAAAGAGAGACAGAGAGAGGAAGAGCCTTAGAACTACCATCGCATCTGTATTAGCTTCCTAGGGCTCATCAAAGTACTATAAAGGGTGGCTTAGGACAATGGGAGATTTACTGTCTCTCGATTATGGAGGCCATAGGTCTGAAACCAATGTGTTAGTAGGGTCACACTGTCTCAGCAGGCATTAGGCAAAGTGCTGTTCCCAGTCTTCTCTCCCTAGTTTCTGGTAGCCTCAGTTTCCCTGGCTTGTAGATGAACGACCATCTTCTCTCTATGGGTCTTCAGATCATTTTCCCTCTGTGCATGTCTCTGTTTTAAAAATTCCCTTTTTTGTAAGGATACCGGTCTTATTGGATGGGGCCCACCCTAACGACCTCATTTTAACTTGACCTCTGTAAAGATTTTATTTACAGATAAGGCCACAATCTGAGTCTGAGGTATGGGAGACTTAACACAGTTTTGTTTTTGTTTTTGTTTTTCAGGGTTGGGGGTGGAGAGTAGACATAATTCAACCCATAACACCATCACTTCTGCCACGTTCTGTTGGTCAAAGTATGTCACAAAGACAGTGCAAATTCAAGGACTAGGAAAAAATAGATACCACTTCTTACAAAGCAATATTGCAGAAAGCCAAAATATATCCAGAAAGCCATTAATTGGGGCTATTTTTTGCAATCAATGTAACACCTTTAGCAAAACAGGTCAAGAAAAGAGATGCTTAACCCAGGTGACTAACCCCCCCAGCACCTCTCTAGTTTGTTAAATATCTTCAAAGAATCTTCATTTTTTAAATCTGTTCTAGTTTCCAGTTAACCTAACTGGACTCAAATTCAAAATTCTCCTTTCAGTGGGTGGCAGCTAAAATCTCTTGATCATTTCTTTTGCCTCAGCTGGGCTATTTTCATGAGTTTTAAATTTATAAAAATGTATTAGGTTCTTGGAAGGCATGAGTGGCTCAGCTGGCTAAGTGTCTGCCTTTGGCTCAGGTCATGATCCCAGGGTTCTGGGATTGAGTCCTGCATCGGGCTCCCTGCTCAGTGGGGAGTCTACTTCTCCCTCTGCCTGCCATCCTGCCTGCTTGTGCACATGCTCTCTCTTCTCTCTCTGACAAATAAATAAAATCTTAAAAAAACAAAACAAAACATGTATTGGGTTCTAGATATTATTGCTTGTTAAATTTTTGTTTTTCTTTTTATCCAGCTCTGTGCTTATTGATTGTATCATTGTTGCTATGTATAAGATTTACTCTGTTGCTTCTTGGTGGTATCCCAAATGAGCTCCATAGTAAGACTGTTATAACCTTGTTAATTCTAGACATCTTGGCCCCGGCTGTGTGAGTACTGGGTTTTGTGCTGAAGAAATAGTGGATTGTTGTCCAAAGTCAGCCTAGTTGATAGGCAAGAGCAGGACCTAAAAATTTTCCTGCAACCCGTCCTCTCACTGCCTCCTCTGGGAACCCATTTTGCTAGCCTCAACTCTTCCCTCACCTTCTTTCCCCAAAACATATTCCAATTCAAGCAATTTTTAGACTACCCGAGGATTTCTCAGAGTTACCTTTGTTAATTATTAAAATTCATATTTTTTGCTCAGTTCTGTTGTTTCTTCCAGGCTATTTTTAAAAAAGACTTATTTATTTGAGAAAGAGAGAAAGAGAGAGAGGGAGAGAGAGTGGGAAGAGAAGTGGAGGGAGAGGGAGAGAGAGAATCTTAAGTAGATACTGCTCTGAGCACAGAGCCCAATGCAGGGCTCACAACCATGAGGTCATGACTGGAACCAAAAGTAAGAGTTAGATATTTAACTGATTGAGCTGCCCAGGTGCCCCTTTCCAGGTTATTTTTATAGGGGATCCAAGAATCTTTTTTTTTTTTTTAAGGTTTTATTTATTTATTTGATAGACAGCACGCACACAAGCAGGGGAAGTGGAAGGCAGAGGGAGAGGGAGAAGGAAGCTCCCTGCAGAGCAGGGGAAGCCAGATATGGGACCCAATCCCAGGACTCTGGGATCATGACCTGAGCCAAAGGCAGTGGCTTAACCAATTGGGCCACCCAGGCGCCCTGGGATTCGAGAGTCTTATGTTAGTTTGCCATCTACCAGGAGTAGAAAATGCTCTCTGGTCTGATTTTTCTACTAAGCACTATATCTATTCCCAAGAAGTGGTTAGGAGGCATAATAGAAAACGGGAGATTAGGAGAAATTAGGTACAATGCATAAATTCTGAGAAAGGTTTAATGGGAATAAAATCTTCCATTTTTCCAAACTTTAGCAAGAGATACATTTAAGAGAGAAATCAGTATCAACCTAGGAAATTCCTCACACATGTATATCATGAAGCATTAACAGTGTTTTCCATTACTGCATATAAACATTAGTCAAAAAACTGGAAAACCTAAATGATCCTCTGTAGATAATGGTTAAATAAGTAATGGTCCATCTAAATCATGAAATACGATCGATAAGTTAAAATGAATTAAGTCAATCTCTGTGTAAACTGATTTGGAAGAATTTGCAAAGAATAACATTAAGTGAAAAGAATTTGAAGAATCACATGTTTAGTATAATATCATTTATATAAAAATAAAATAATATCCACCAAACCAAATGATATATTTCTCTCTATGCATGCATACTTATGTACTTGCATGGAATAAGGATGGGAAGCAAACATACGTAACACCTTGACATCTCTTAGAAGGAAAGTGGAATTGGCAAAAGGGAAGTTTCACTTTGTGTTTTTCTGTCTTTTCACAGTGAAAATGTCAATTACTTATTTAGTTTTAGAACTCCATGAAGGAAGCTTGACTCTGAATGTGACATTCACTGAGTATCTTTTTCCCTACAGAAAGAAAAAACGTGTTTCAAGATGTCCTATCATGTTTAAACATGGATAGGAGCAGAAAGCTTCTGCCGGATGTTGTTAAGCAATTCTCCTTAGATCGAGGATGTATGTGGACACCTGAGACTCCTGGAGACTTAGCTTGGAATTTCCTGATGAAAGTTCAAGCTCTGGATGTGACAGCCAGAGATACCGTCCTCAGACACAGGGTTCTGGGTGAAGATGGCAAAGAGGAATTGGTGACTGGAGTAGAGAATTTGGAAATCAGAGACGTACAAACCATTCATCCCTTTGATGTTCTTTGTGCCTCTATGCTCTGTTCAGACAGCTCCTTGCAGCGTGAAGTCATGTCAAACATGTATCAGTGCGGCTTTGCTCTTCCCCTGCTCCTGCCAGATGCAGAAAACAATAAAAGCATCTTAATGCTAGGGGCCATGAAGGACATTGTGAAAAAGTGGTCAACACAGTCTTCAGGAGGGCCTCCAGGGGACACAGAAAAGTTTCCGAAGATGCCTGTCATCTCCTTTGTGCGCCTAGGGTACTGTAGCTTCTCCAAGTCCAGAATCCTCAACAGACTGCTTGGTCCTGCCCAACTGAAATCACACAAAATCTTTCTCCATCAGGATTTTACTGTCCCAGTGCTTCCCCGGCAAATCTCTGATGGCCTGGTTGAGATAACGTGGCATTTTCCTGAGCGAGACTGTCTAAAGGAAAATCCTAGTTTTTTCCAGAAGCCTGTTGCTCTGGCCAACCTCCATGGAGACCTAGAAAATTTTTGGACACAGTTTGGTTTTTTGGTGGAAATTTCCGCGGCTGTTTTTTTTTTCACTGACTACCTAGGTGAGAAGGAGTGGGACTTGCTAATGTTTTTAGGAGAAGCTGCCACTGAGAGATTGTACTTTGTCCTCAGTCCCCAGGCCCAGGAGAGTGAAGAGGCTCAGCTTTTCCAGAGGATTCTAAAGTTGAAGCCATCACAGCTACTGTTTTGGGAGGAGGAGGAAGCTGGGGAGAGAGGGAAGAATATGGAGGGTCTTCAGGCCGCTCTGCAGGAAGTGATGTCCTCTTCACTCAGATGTGTGACCATGGAGGAGATGGGCTCCCTGGCCAGGGAGTTGGGAATCCAGGTAGATCAAGACTTTGAGAACGTTCAGGGAATTCACAGTTCCTCTAGTGAAAACCTGGCTGAAGATGAGAGACAACAAAGACACAGTCAGCCAGAAAGCTCATCTGAAAGCACAGCTGAGATGCCTGTAAGCGAGCCTGGGGCTAGCTGGAATTTTCAGAATTTCCACCCCACCCCAGTACTCATGCCTCCTCAGGAAAACTCTTATCCTCTACCAACCAGAATTGGAGGTAACTTTAACCATGTGTCTCTGAAAGCCCCCTGGGTTATGGGCTCCCACTTTTGGTCAGAGCAGAAGACCAGGTGGTTCCATCCCTGGCCCTTTCAGAAAACAAGGGCCCATGGTCGAAGTAAAAGTTTTAGGTCTCAGTACTTCCCACCCCAAAGATTTTATTCACCTGAAAGATTTATAAAATTTCCAAGAGCTTCTTGGGGATATTGCATGGATAAAACAAGACCTGTGTCTCAGCATGTACAGGCCTGGCCTAAGAGACCACAGGAGGACAGAACAATGGGAGCTTTTAAAAGATCTGGGGCAGTGGTCTCCCACATAGGTCACTTCCATTCCCTGGGTTTGCAGCCAGCAGGAACAGTTGGGAAGCCACAGCCTAAACAAGCCTATGCCCAGAGAACACAGCCAACTAGGGCAACTGGGAATCTTATAAAAACAACATCCCATATTGAAGGTCTTTACCCCCAGGCCTTTCAACCAGCTAGAGCCATACAAAAACCTGTAAGACCTGCTTTTCAGCAAGGAGCCAAACTGAAGGCACAGGATGGGCCTTCAAATCCAACTTTCCAAATGGGATCCTATCCCAGGTCCAACAGCAAATGTTCACCCAGCTCCCAGTTCACATCCAACCAGCCCAAGCCACTTCAGGTCAACCAATCCCAGCCTGTGCCCTCTCCACCCAAACCCACGCACACAAAACCCACTCAACCCCGCCCATCCCAGACTAAACCCTTTCCAGCCATCCCCACTCAACCCTGGCCCTCCCAAGCTAAACCCTCTCCACCTAAACCCACTCAGCCCAAGCCATGCCCATCCCAGGCCTCCCAATCCAAGCCTTCTCAGCCCAGGCCCACTCAACCCAAGTCATGTAGGACCAGTCCTTCACAGGCTAAGACAAACAATCCAAGAGCAGCACCCAAGAGGGGAGGAAAACGTTAAAGTGCTTACTCTAGAGACCTGTGAAACAAATCCTTCACCCAGGCCATTGCTATCATACGGTAACCTGAAGAAGAATGGCAGAGGTGGTCAGAGATTCCTATCATTAACATGACAGAAAGAAAAAAAAAATATGCATAGCTTAACTGGTATCATTAAAATATCTGTAAGAATTGTGTCTACCAAAAGAAAAAATATGAAAAGAATTAAGAATAGAATCAGGGGGTAAATAAATTAACTGAACCCAGCCTTGAGTATTAGGTAATATATAACCTGATTGCCAGGAAAGGTGCTGTTGAGACGACTCCATTAAATAAGGCTCAGGCAGCTCAGTGTTACAAGAAAAACTGTTCTCGATGTTTGCTGCTCCAGAGGTGTCTTGGTCAAAACTTTTTGGTTCACTTATCAGCCACTAAGCAGATAATCTATTTACCTGTAATAACAGCTCCAGTTTGCTCGGATGTTATAATTCTCTCATTTTACCCTTACATACAGGAATAATGAGCTGAAAACCAATGAGATGAATTGTTTTGCATTTACTTGGGTATGATTTGTGTATGTTTTATATTTAAAGTATTTGTAGGGACGCCCATGTGGCTAAGTTGTTAAGTGGCTGCCTTTGGCTCAGGGCTCCATCCCAGGACCCTGGGATCAAGCTCGGCATAGGGCTCTTTGCTTATCAGGAAGCCTGCTTCTCCCTCTCCTACTCCCGCTGCTTGTGTTTCCTCTCTCACTGTGTCTCTCTCTGTCAAATAATAAATAAATAAATATATAAATGAAATAAAATCTTAGGAAAAAATATATATAGTATTTGTAATAGTTAAGGTAATTTGGTTTATTAAAAGATCTGATATCATGATTTCAACTTAAAATGCATAATTGAATTTTTGATTTTTAGAGTTACAAAGCTTGTAGAAAGCATTGCAATGTTTAAGAGAACTTAAGATTCACAAAATTTGCAATTTTACTTTATTAGGTTCATTACTATCCTAAACATTTGGGTAAGATCTGCCAGTTACAAGCATAAGTAAAAGGAATATAATAAATTTAAAATATTCAAATGAAGTTTAATTAAGCTTGTAAATGATACCAAATATTAATAAAAGGCCACTTAAAGGTTAATGTTAAAATTCACTAGATGTAGAAATAAAATAATAAGATTTGTAATTTGGATTAAGACCTCTGGTTTTTTAATTTAACACTTTTATAAAATTAATACTAATTTTAAGTACTAAAATAGCCCCATATTGTCTTTTCTGGGTTAGAAATTTTTTTGCCTTCAAGGATGCCAAGGGAAAAAGATCATATTGATAAATAGATGAAAAATGATTTTTGAAAAGGAATAACTAATTTCTGAGAACATGCTCATACTCCAATAGGCATCCTTTATTTTTGCATGTCTTAAACAATTATACTGAGTATTTAGAGGGTGTTAAATCTCTAAAGTCATTGTAAGGATGAAGAGAGAAAGGACTGTGCATGTAGATTATTATCTATATCTTTCCAAGAGAAAAAGCATAATACCTAGTGTATTACTACCAAATCTTCAGTGTAAAACAGGAGTTTCTCAATGAGAATAATCTTTTTGTGTTTAAATTTTTGAAATGAGCAATACTTGATGATGTTTTTAAAAACGTTTTTCTAAATCCATCTTTAAGATTCATTCCTGGAGGACAGAACTTGCTGGATTCTTTGTCACTAACAGATTCTGTATCAGCCTGGGTCTTGGCAATACATAGATGGTACATTCAGTTTGGAGACTTGGAGGAGCATCTCATAAAGAGACTATTTACAAAAGGCTGGACAAGATGGTAAAAACAGGGCAAGAGAGCACAGCACCCTGGATCTAGTCAAAGTGAGGTACATTGCCACCCCAAGATCCGAAGGGAGAGAGAGGGCAGTGCTCTCCCCAACCAGAAGAGCTGTGTGGGAAGGGTCTTGGGTCTGGTTGGTTGAGGGAGACAGTGGGCTTCAGTGACCCACAGGGAGCTGCCTCAGGGATAAATAGCTAAATAAATAAATAAATAGTGCATTCCCTTGGCCAAAGCCAACCAGAAACCAGAGAACAAGGAGCTCACCTAGGTGGTTCTTGTTGATCAGGTTTCGGGTTCAAAGTAGGGTGGAGAGTGAATCTGGATGGGCAAACAGATGGCACTTAACAGATTTTTCCCTTCCCATTGCGTTATTCCTTCCCTTTTCCCCCCTTTCTTCCTTCCCTTGTGTTTATTTCTTGAGCATATATTATGCGTGAGGCAGTGCAGTAGGAACTGAGAAGATATGAAAAGAGAATGAGAAATCCTGCTGCAGTTGTGAAATCCTACAAATCTGTTTCCTCTTTATTATAAAACTATAAGCCCATTTATACAGTTTCAAAAATGCAGAAATAGACAAAGAAGAAAGGAACATAAAAATAGTCTGTAATCTCATAGCTCAGAGTAACTAACTAACCGGCAATGTAGTCCTCTAACTCACTAATAACATTTTCATATATTTTTTCTGTGTAAATATATTTACAGGCAGCACTCAGTTACATATTCGAGTCTGTATCAGGGTTGAATGTGGCAAAATTAAATAGTGTTGGGGCAGGTAGTATAAACAGCATAAAATGCTAGTTTTCCAGATATCTTAAGAAAGTCTGAATTCAAGGCATGAAATACAGTTTATAGGCATCTTTGTATAATGCACAAGTTCAATTGTTTTTAGTCAAACATGCAAAAACTCAGAACTACTTGTTTTAGGTGTGTTATTTACTAAATTGAGAGCGTTCAATTTGTACCTGAATTCTTTGTTGTTGTTAGCAAATTTAGGAGTCTATCCAATGACTTATCCTTTCTTAAACACCTTAAATCAATTTATATTTTGTACAAGAAACCAAATAAAGATTACTTTTTTTTTTAAGCATTGAAAAAAGTGTGCTCTTTGTTGAGATGCTTGAAAGGAGTATATTCCAGTGGGATACAAAGACTCACCATAGGGAAAACGTTGCCTTATAAATCATACTAGCGTCATAAATCTAGGTTTTACCTACATGCATAGTGACCTTCTGCATTTCCTTATGTCTTAGAACATTTTTTATAGTCCTCCTCATGAGTAAGGTATAGCTCTCTTTTTATTTGCTCTTTGGGGGTCCATGTGAGCATAGTGTCTGTTGGGGAGGATAAACATGACACTGACTAAAAAGATTCAGAAATCTGATTTAATGGGTGGCTTTAAGTGGTAATTGGCTAAGGGTAGTTTTAGTGTTGGTTAGGGTAAAGGCTGAGATTCGATAGCAAAGAGAAGGCAAAAATCTCATGGCTTAACTAATATGGGAGCTAATTTTTCCCTCATGTAACAATTCAGCCAGTCTAAACTGGTAGTACATCTCTTCTCATTAGGGTTAATCAAGAACTAAGTTCCTTCCATCTTGTTTTTCCATCTCTCTGGACATTGTCCTTTTCTGCACAATTAAAGCCACCCTCTCATTTCCCTGATGCAATTTATAGAATGGGAGAAAAGCCAAATTTCAGAGAGACCAGTCTGACTTTAGTTAGGAATGATCTGGAAACTGTATATATCTTTCAATCACACTCCATGGTTCAAACTTGGTCATCTGACCACATGTAGCTGTAAATGAGGTTGGGAAGTGTCGTCACCAAAGGAGTGGCCACACATCCAGGAAAGAGAGAAGCAGCATTTTGCCAAAATATCATAGAATGTCAAGAATATCAGAGAGAGACCAGGAAGAGGAAGATAAAGTCACTAGATGGAACCCTAAAACACACATGTTCATTCCTACAACTTTAATCATAATTTTTTGTTATTTATAGGATGTATTATTTTAGTGACAGGAAGGGGCAATAATTACCCAAATTGATGGGCGGATTTTAAATGCAGAAATAGACAAGAAAGGAAGAGAAGATTTTATTTTACATACTTTTTATTTAAATAAAATAACTATAATAGAAATACAGACTGTTTAATGCAAGATATCAACATTCTTCACATCCTCTTGGCAAGTTTCCTTAAATTCTGAAACTGTGAGTGTATAATCTGAGCTTGCACAAAAATCCCCTGAGACGGTTGTTAAAATTGCATATTATTAGGGTTCTGCTAGGAGATTGATTTAGTAAGTCTGGAGTAAGCCTCAGGAATGGCCTCTTTGCAGGGACTACCACTGATGCAGAAGATCCTGGGGCCACATTCTGAAAACCCAGATCCGGCCTGGGCTGCAAACCTGTTTGCTGGTGCTCAGAGAAAGAAATTTTCATCTGGACCAGGAATTCAGTCTGGGATGATTTCCCTTCATTATCATTCTCATTACATTCATTTTTCATCTCCTGTTAGAAAATTGGGCACTAAAAAGCTGGTTTAATGAGGCAATAATAAGGTAAAAAGTTTTAGACATTTAAGATCAGGACTGTTCTACCTATAGGTTTCTATACCTAGAAACTTCCCATTTTGTTTGCAAGTTTTGTACCTGATTAAATTTCAAACACATCCTTTTATTTTTCAAAATGTGCTTCTTTCTCTTTGCTCCATGGCTAGGACTTGATTTTTTTCCCCTCAAGTCTCAGCCCTTTCTTCCTCTTTCCCAGTGTCACCAGTTTATATCACATTATTCTTTCACTAATTGCAGAGTGACTTTGCTAGAGATTAATGCAGATGATTTTGGGCTTGGGTCTTGATTTGACCGTTTCGTGTTTCTAGGCCTCGCAGACCGATAAACTTCTCTGGGTTGGCCAAAGTAGAGAGAAAGGAGAATAGAGCAAGATACTGAGATGTTGTGTCTGCCCTCCAGATGGGCCTTGTCTCCTATCCCCGGTCCTTGGTAAATTCCCCAGACCCACTTCTGGACCCTAGGGTAAGCATTACAACCCAAACAGATTTGAGTACTGTGGGCCTTTAATGTCTGTCTCACTTCCCATGATTGGATTGGGTTAAGGAATGAGGTAACAGAGGAGTAAATACTATTAATGAAAAACAATATTAATTAGTCCTTCAAACATCATCCCCTCCAGACAGAAATCCAGGTAATGCGGACAGGATGCCAAGGGAGGAAGGGCAGCACTTAGGCAAACAGAGGATCAGTGTTGTGCAAAGAGGAGGGCTGGGCAGAGAAGAGCCAAGATGGGTGTGGAGGACGCCCTGGTGGGGTGTGTTGCAAAAGGACAGCACAGCTGTCTTGAGCATTTTATCAAATAAGGGCCCATTTCCTTGCTTTGAGACTAGACTTGTTTTTGATGCTTTTAAGATAAGGAATGAGATGAAAATTTCCGAAATGAAGAGGAAGACTGCCAGAGGGGTCAAAGGGTTATTAGGCTGCCTCTTGACTCTGCCCCAATGGTATGTAAAACTAGACAAATAATTGCCCATAGAGTCTCAGTCCTGGGCAGCCCTGGCCTGTGCTGCTCAGTTCTCCTTTCACTGCGGATCCTGCTGTGCTGTCTTGAGAATCCACTGGGGCGTTCCGGAAACCACACCCAGGCAGGCTGCCCGGCGGTGACTCAGCATGGTGGAGGGTACTAGAGCTGGGGCTGGAGAAGGGTCCTCCCCACGTGGGGGACTCCAGGCTGCTGCCTCTGCTCTGGGCTCTGTACTGGCCTGGCTGACATCTTCTCTGAGCTGCAGGGTGGTCTGATGCTCACAGGCCCACGTACTCTC